TCTTGGGAGACTCCCTTACTAGACCACTGGACTCAGACCCCGGTCACAGTGAAAATCACAGGATGTGCAGTCTGACCTTGGACTGCATGTGGTGGGACTGGGCCTCCCCAGTGGCTGGTGCCTGTGCAGTAGACAGTAATGTGCAGTTGCACGCAAGAGACAGGATGGCCAGCTCATCTAGGCTAGCAGGGGATTTTGACTGCCTTGTCAGAGGACAGAAAGCAGAACAGGTGGCACAATTCCCCCAGCCAAGCTTTGCAGCATGTTCCTGGGTTGTGGATGCACTAAGGTGGGCTTAGGCAACCAGCAGACAAAGAGTTTGTCAATACTGGAGCAACAAAACCAACAACTTCTCAGTTCTGTCACAACCACTGAAATAATGTTGTTTTTCCCCCCATCAGGGTCTCTAAGGCGGCATGAAATGGCCATCTCCATCCGCATGTGCTGATGTCATTTGACATCTAGGAGTGCCCCTCCTCCTCCCTTGTGCACACAAGAGAAAAAAAACCTGAAGCATGTCCCACCCACGTTTCTCTGTTCCTGAACCTTCTCACTTTAATCAGAGGCCCACGTTGACATTCATATCTCTTAATTATGTAAATAAAATAAGCAAAGATAAAATGATTTTTAAAAACTGAGTTGTTTCAATCTTTCCAGGGATATTTAACATTCAAATCTTTGAGTTAACTTATTCTATTCTTGCCCTAGTTAAATCATGAATCTTTAAAAGAAAAGTTCCTTTAGTAAGCAATTGTTTAAAATTCCTGTTCCCATGCCCTAGTTACATGCACACTAAGACCTGCAATCTGGATCTAGAATTCTGAGAAATAACTTTTGATCACTGCCTGTCTCCAATGCATGAAGAACCAAGGGTCATAGGTTTGCAAAACTGAAGCCCCTACATTACAATGGAAACATTATTTCTACATTACCTCGCCCAATATTCAGCATTTCTTTGCCTATCTTACTATCCCTTCTTTTTCCAGTTGCTATTCATAGGACAATATTTTTATCATGTTTCAAAATAATTCATTCCTATGATATTAAAATAAATTTTACCTGTAGAAGTTTGGGCAGTTATAAAATCTTCAGGAAAATTACTATTGATGCATGTTTACAATAAAACCAGTAGTTTAGTTTACATAAAGTTTTATAATCTGCTTTACAATCTCTGTTCATGAGCACTTTTCCATGTTATTAAACAGTTCTTTATTCTTGGGGGCTAAATAAGGAGAATTCTGGCAAACGAGCAGATAGAGCTGATGTGGTTCCGACCCCATCCTAAAACCTTCTGGAAATGCTGGATAAAACAATGTCCAGGAGCAGGCCTTTGGTGCAGCTCATAAGATGCCCCAAGTTCCTGCATTTCAGTACCAGATCTGATCCTGATTCTGCGTCCTTGACAATACACGCTATGAAAGCAGCAAGCGATGGTTCAAGTAAACAAAACTGGGCTGCCCCTGTGAAGACCTGGTTCTGAACCTGGACTTCAGGGAATGTCTCTCTGCTCCTCACATAACATACATAAAGTGGTTAAAACACACATTTCAACAGATATCCTAGCTTGAAAGCAAATGATATTTCTAGAGTTCATAAGAAATGAAATGAAATCAGAATCAAAATCGTAGTGACCATTTGAGCTTTATATATCACATAGAGAGATGACTAGCAAATGGAAGATCTCTTTCTCTCATTATGTCTTTCAAATTAATAAAGCTTCAAAAATAGTGTTGAATTATAGATACATGATACAAAGACAGATACTTTAACCTTTTTGCATAAATTATCTTACGTTAAATTGGTCTCCAGTATTTATTTCTTGTGTTATTTTCAGCTGGTTATGATAACCACATTATACTAGTTTCAGAGATGTGATAAGCAGTGTTTTGTTGTTAAAATTTCTAGAATAATTTGTGTAAAGAATAAACTTTTTTCCTAAAGAAAAGCTAAAGAAAATTGACCTAACAAATGAACTCTGGCTCCAGGGGAAAATGAAGAGAGCAACTGGAAGTCTTTCCCTAAACACTGTGCAATGTGGAGAAACTGTCCCCTGCATTTCCTTCCATGTACTGTTCCTGCACAAAGGCCTTTTTTAATTATTTTTTTTAAGCTATGCTTTCATGGGTATAGGGATTCCCCGTTTTACCTCCCCATGCCCCCACAATACTGTTTTCCCTCTTATTATTATAATTGTATAGTCTTTCAACAACAGTCACAAGTCCAACATTTTGCTATTTAGTGTATCATGTCATAGAACTATAGACAATGGTAGATAGTCTAGTTTCCTATTGTTAAGGAATACTTGACACTTTCATTTAGAGTCTTCCTTTTATTCAGGAGTAGAGATATATACTGTAACATCCTCACTTCCTTGTGTGCTAGTCTCCATTATACAGTTCATCGTTGAGAATATATATATGTGTGTGTGTGTGTATATATACATATATATGTGTATATATACATATATGTGTGTGTATATATTTACCTTCTATCTTATGTTTTTCATGGAGGTTGCCTTATATCAGAGAACACATGACATTTGTCCTTTCGATAGATCTTTAGTTTTTAAGTTTTGTGTAAGTTCCATTAACTTCCATTAAATTCTATCATTGGCAATAATGAAGGTGGCACATGAAGCTATACGTTAACTTGGTTTGTCATATGACAATTTCTTTCAATGTGACCTTGGTTTTATGGTTTAAAAGGAACTGTGAAACTGAGGCCTTTTAAAACTTTAACTCCCTTCCTTTGATCTAATGGAAAATCTAGACTTACTCTGAGCCCTTCCATGTCATGTTTTTTCTTTGCTCAAAATTCCTTAGAACTTTGGGAAAACTCTTTCCTGCTATTCCCATCAAAGGGAAAATTAGCCACCTCTTCTGTATGATTTGTTTACAATGCAAGACACTTTTTACAAATGTCTACCTCATTAGTTTGCAAGTTTGCAAGCAAGGGCTGTGGTTGTTCATTTTATTCCTCTTCCTGTATTTAACACTAACATACAATAAACACTTGTTAGATTGTGTAGAATGAGTAACAACCACAAAGAATTTTATTATCAAAAATCATGTTATAACACCTAATAAATACTGTCTTAATTGTTTTCAGAGAACTTTGCTAATGGAGAAGACAGGCAAGGTTATTTTTCTTATCATCTGGGCCAATATCACACAAGTGAACTAGCAGATGGAAGATCTCTCTGTGTAACTCTGCCTTTCAAACTAAGATAAAATATTTTTAAAAAGTATTTAGCCAGCAGGATTTTCATAAATTCTTCCCTAACCCCATAAAATTTTATTTTTCATTTACTGTTTAACCATTGGTCATAAGATTTGTTTATTGTTTTCATCCTATGGATTCATATATATACCACTATAAGGACTGTCTTTCCTAGCAAAAATCGTTTTTGAAGGCAAGTTATCTATAAGTGAAGGTTCAAATGAATTTTGCATATTTTGAACATTTAATCATTCCATAGAAATGTCATGATTTTTCTTACACTCTTCAAGGACTGATGTTACTGCTTTCAGAGAGTATATCCCCCTTCTAGTTTTGCCCCACTTTTTATTTTGTTCACAAGATTGATATTCTAAGTATTGAAGTCAAATTCTCATCCCTAAGTTTGTTACACTACATATGCTTCTCTTTACCAAATCTTGTCAGCTTCTTCTTCAAAACATAAGAGCACCTGACAACCCTCACAGCTACTACCCTGTTATGTGTCATCATCACATTTTCCAGCTGCTATCCCCACTTCTGCACCTGTTTGCTACATTTTTCTCAAAACAAAATACAGCGTACACATTAAAACAAAAGTAAGATTGCGTTATTCTTCTTGAAACTTCTTCAATGGCTTCAGAACTCAAAGTACCAAGCAAATCTGCCGGCCTACCCCCTACTGTAACTTCCCTGACCTATTCTCCCGTATCTATGCCCCTGGCTCACTCCTTCAGCAATGATGGCCTCCCACATATTCCTCCTCAGGGTTCGTCTATACTATTATAATAAGATAGAAGAAAATAGTGGGAGGGAAAATGGGGAGAGAAAATGGGAATGAAAGATGGAATCCCTATATCTATAAAACTGTATTATAGAAAACAGTAACAATAAAATTTTTAAAAAGAAATACAATCTATTCAAGTCATAACTAAATCCTAAGAAATTTGAGTGCCCTCTCATTTTGTTCTTTCTCACTTGCTGAGAAACTGCTTGTCTTCTCTAGGTCTCTCAGCATGTACTCCCATGGAACCTGGCACCCGGCCCTGGCTTCTGCAGATCCACTGTGAGCACTACAAAGACACAGTGGCATCTGCCATAATCACTGTTATCTCTAGGACACAGCAGGGCACAAGGAATGTTAATGAATGAACAAACCTAAGTTTTATACACATTAAAACAGGAAAGTGAATCATAAAGGAATATTATTTTTTAAAGTACATTCAATTAATACATATCATGGAACACAACTTGTTTTTTTTTTTTTAAAAAAAAAAAAGGTAAAGAAAGCACAGTAACGGTGTTTAGCTCTGAGCAGTGGGACTTTGCTTGCTCTCTTTTTCTTTGCCCATATCCTTATCTGCCAAATTTAGTATAATAGGCCTCACTTTTATGGTGGGGGAAAGAATGTTATAAATGAAGAAGGACAACACCACTGAAAGTATTCTCTTTCCCTGCAAACAGTTTTACACCCAGCACAATATGGCTGTGTTCCTCTCCACACACACTTGAGGTGAATAACAGCATGAAACCTTTCTCATTTTGTACCAGCAAAAATAAATATTGACAAACTAAGCCAAATTACAAAATTCATATCACCAGTTAGAGTCTGAAATGCCACCAGTGTTTTACACACAATTTTTATAATTTTGCAAGAATTATTTTTTTAAGGAAAGGATCCTGGTTTGATGCACTATAAGGTTTATTTAGTATTTTGAGGTATACATGACCAAATTAAGTGGGAAATTTGGAAATCCCACTGTTCTGGACCACTTGCATTCATCTCAGTGGTGAAATAAAGCTGCAAGAGAAAAGTAAAATGGGTTAAGCATTTCAAAGAACTAGTATACATACATTACACTTTTTCATATAACAAAATGCACACAATTTTCAAGTTTTTTGTATTTGTCATAATTAAGCATTTTCAGCATGGCAGTGCATCATCTTAACATCCCCATGAGGCATACACATAAACAGTTTTTGGGAAAATAAAGTTAGCTTCCATGCCCCAATGACTAGCTCACAAAAACGCGTTTTATTAAACTAGTTATAATATGCACATGTGTGCACACACAGGTTTTGCATAACATGTATAAAAGAATATTCCATAAACTTCATGGAAAATGGAATTAAAAGATGTCTATTTTGATAAAAAACATTTTGAAAAACATGTATAGTTCTTTCATAATATGTATTTTCAAAGAAATTTATGAAGATTCTTCATACAAGGTAATAACACATTGTATGAATAATACACATGCATTAAAAACTTACGCATTACCATAGCTAAGCAATACATATGTTATCAGTTATATCCACGTTTTATGCATAATACCTTACGTAAGGATTATCTTTCATTTCTCTTGAGACAATTCCTTTTTCCTACCCATCAGTTTAATTTCATTCCACATCGCGGGGAGGCAAGGTTCGGGGAAACCAAGGAGCTGGCCCATCCCTCCACCGTAAATAATGACAACATTGAGACCAGTCGGAGTCACCTGACACTAAATTCAGTGATGTACTATTCCGCTCTTCCAGTTCCCTGCAACTGAGGCTAGGAATTAACATCTCAAATTGGAGTGGTGCATTACCATTTCAAAAGCATTCACAAAGCTGCATCGTTTAAAGTTTAAACTACACGAAAAATCTCCAATGATGACATTAAGGAGCTGATTAGTAAACGTGCTTAGTGCTGGAGACATCACTACGTGACCCTCTTTTCTCACCAACAATGTTATTCTTAGTTACTAGCCTTTCATAATTACTTCAGAAGGAGACAACTCATGCCAAGGCTATGGGATTTGTAAGTCTCTTTAACTGAAGCCAAGGTGTGTGAAGCCTGGTGTGTGATTTCAGAACCCTTCTTTCAAACCTCTTCCCACACTGCAATGTGTAGGTCTGGGGAGTAGGTCCTAGTAGTTAAGAGCAACAACTAAGACAGGATTTTACCCCAGGTCCGTCAGATTCCTGAGGCAATGCTTCTTTCCCTGGATATACCGTGTGATACAAACACATACTGGAGATTACAGACATCACTGCTTAGCAAGGGAGCTCAGCAGTCAAAGCAGGCCGATTTCACTTTTCCCTTCCCTCTAAAGGCCTTAACTACTTCTTTGATACAATATGGCACTTAAACAAATTGGCATTTGCCTTGTCCATTTTCTACCATGCAAACACCCCTAATGATAATACACTATTTCAGAAGCTGACTTCACTCTGGGCCAAACCTAAGTACAGTAGAAATGATCAGTCAAACCAAGGTGAAAAGTGGAACTCTAAAATTAACAAGAATCAGAGATTAAGCTCTTCAACATTATATCCTATTGTCAGTTACCTTTAGTTTCTGGGTCACTTTCACCATTTTCCTCATCCATTGCCTCCTCCATCCTTGCGATATCACTTTTAATTTTGATTTTCGGTTTCTTAAACACTTGTAAAAGACCACTATTTTTCTTTCGTAATGGATTGGTCCACCCGCTGCAATATGAAAAATTTAAGTGAAGCCTTATTTCTCAACAGTGATATAATAACAATGGGGGCTTGGAGGAAATGGATATTTGCAGAGAATTCTTTATGCTTACCCACTTGATGTAATAATGCTAGAAAATAACAGAACTGGCTCATTCATGTTATCGTGACCATCATTGTTGTTCAGTTTACAGTTATTTTTATCATCGGATCCTCCACCACAGTAAAGTCCTCCTACTTCTCTCCATTCCCATCAGTGGTGCACATCCTTCACCACCTGCTTCATACATCATCTTGCTTAACAAGCCTTCCTTTTCACTTCTAATCTACAAGGAGTCATCCTTCCATAAATGTTGAAATTGAACCAAACTCGTTCACATTACATTCACATTTACAATTTTCTTTTTTTAAAAGATTTATTTATTTATTTACTGTATAATCAGATATAGAGAGGAGGAGAGACAGAGAGGAAGACCTTCTATCTGATGATTCACTCCCCAAGTGACTGCAACAGCCAGTGCTGAGCCAATCAGAAGCCGGGAGGCAGGAACCTCTTCCGGGTCTCCCATCTGTGTGCAGGATCCCAAGGCTTTGGGCCGTCCTAGACTGCTTTCCCAGACCACAGGCAGGGAGGCGGATGGGAAGCAGGATTTCCAGGATCAGAACCTCTCTCTCTCTTTCTCTTTCTCTCTCTCTCTCTTTCCCTCCCTCTCTCCAACTCTGTCTTTGAAATAATTCTTTTAAAAAAGAGTAAATTTCAGACCATCATATTAGCACTACACTGATACTTTATATAAGGTTACAAGAAGGTTTGGCACAATAGCCCAATAGCTAAAGTCCTCAGTTTGCATGCACCAGGATACCATGTGGCCACAGGTTCCTATCACAGCTGCTCCTCTTCCCTTCCAGCTCCTTGCTTGTGGCCTGGGGAAGCAGTAGAGATCGGCCAAAGCCTCGGGACCCAGCACGTGTGGGAGACCTGGAAGAGGCTCTTGGCTCCTGGCTTCGGATCGGTTCAGTTCTGGCCATTATGGCCACTTGGGAAGTGAATCATCGGATGGGACATCTCTGTCTCTCTGCTCTCTGTAAATCTGACTTTCCAATTAAAAAATAAATAAATCTTAAAAAAAAAAAAAGAATGAATCAGCCTATGGGGAAAAAAAAAGATTATAAGAAGAAAAGCATTACAAACTGGCTTGAGGACATTCCATGTATTTAAGACCGAGTGGTTGGTACTCGCTTCGGCAGCACATATACTAAAAGACCAAGTGGTTGATGACTACTACAACCCAATGGCAGGGGCTGGTATAGTGGCTCAATGTGCTATCCTCCATTTTGCAGTGCCAGCATCCCATATATATGCTGATTTGTGTCCTGGCTGCTTCACTTCTGGTCCAGTTCTCTGCTTAAGACCTGGGAAAGCATCAGAGGATAGCCCAAGTCCTTTGTGCCCTGTACCCATGTCAGCTCAGCTTCGGCCATTGCAGCTAACTTGAGGAATGAACCAGAAGATGGAATATCTATTTTTCCTTCTCCCTATAAATCTGCCTTTCCAATAAAATAAAAACAGTCTTTAAAGAAGAAATAGAAGGTGAATCTGAGGAGCTAACACCGTAGAGGAATCCTGCTTTGTCCTCCCTAGTCACTCCCACTGTGCACATTTTCAGCTTGCTGGTTTATTTTTCAATCTAATTGGAGGTTTCTTTCATGTAGTAATATATGTACACTGTGCAAGAGGTAATTTGAATCTGTGGAAAGGTAAAATCACATGCATATTTTTAACCAAACCACCTTATTTTTAACAAAAGGAACCCAAACAAAGTCCTTGAGTTTTGTGAAGCACATGAACAAATGTGTCTACACAGAACTACGCATGTACACTCAGAAAGCAGCAATAAAAGTTGATGCTTGCCTACCTCCTCTGGAAAAGAGAGCAGCACAAGATGGGCAGGATTCCCAGGCTAATCATGGTGATCACGCTGACCCCAAACATCCGCAGCACCTGTGTAGGCTCTGTTGGGTTAATCACATCCTGTTACTTTGAGGACTTCAACAAAAACAAAGAAATCAAGTCTGAGTTATCAAGCCTTTTTTTTAAATTACTAGTTAGTAAAGTAAAATGAGGAGGGATTCCTCTATGATACATAAATATCTGTTACTCTATAAATAGCAGTTTATCAAATCTTCCTTAAATACGAAAGTTGTATTTCCAATATATGCTACCCCAATAGAAGTGTTAACTGAAGCTGCATTCTTACTAACAGATTATTTCAAGGGCTAGTGTTGTGGCACAGCAGGCTAAAATTACCACCTGCAATGTTAACACCCCTCATGAGCTCTGGTTCAAGTCTTAGCTGCCCCACTTCAAATCCACCTTTCTGCTAAAACGCCTAAAACACCTTTGAGGCCCGGATGGAGTTCCAGGCTCCTGACTTCCCTCTGGTCCAATCCCAATGGCTGTTATAGCCATTTGGGAAGTGAACAAATAGATGGAAAAATCTTTCTCTCTCTCTCTCTCTGTCTCTCCCTCTCTGTGTCCTTCTCTCTAATTCTACCTTTCAAACAAATCTTTGTAAAAACCAGATTATTATAGTGCATGGTATGTATTTTTTCCTGTGGTTCTAATTGTGTTTTTTCCTCAGCCATGTTGTAAATCCTAAAGCACTCAAGGAACAAATTAATCTGTTAGCAATGAACTCGGTAAAGAAATGATTCCTTAAACATTTACTTAAAATTACAAAACATTAAATTAAACCAAAAAATGAGAATTTGCAGGTTAATAAGCATATTTCAGTCTTACATTCATTGGGAAATGTATTCTGACATCCTTGGGGAATTGCAAGTCACAGTTCAATTTCTTTTTTCATCAACAAGAACAAAATGTCTCTTCACACGTAATAAAAAGACCCAAATAATGAATGCATTACAAAGCACCATGTGACAGTGTTAAAACTGTAATGTAATATTCATAATCAGATTTGGGCTTCCTTTATTAATATTAGATGTTCAACAAAGAGCTATAAATGGAAAAAGGACTGCAATAATGTAAGATATTGTTTTACAGGCATCCTTTTTATAATATTTGTTAGTGTTTAACACATCATGCTACCAAGTGGTAACATCCCCACCACCCAAATAAAGGTTGCAAAAACAGATGGTTTAGTTCCCAAAACTGACAAAAATCCCTAAGATAAAAACCAGTCTATTCTTACCAGATAACACCTTATTTATCCAATCATATTACCACAGTTCTCTGTATCCTTGAACCTAGTATATAAAGGAATTATTCACCCTGGACCTTTGGGTCTTCAGTATGAAAGTTCATATGCCATGTTAAACTATACTCAAATCAATATGTTTTCCTCTTGTTTAACCTATCCTTCGATGATACAGGCAGGTGGCCTGTCATGAGGAGCAGGGAAGAAATCACCTCCTTTTCCGTCCTCACAGCATATAATCCCGGGCGTGGAGGATAAAACTCACAGAGCCTGGAACTTCTAAGACAAAAGACAGAGGGGACTAAAGCAGAGGAAAAAGACTTTGAACTGGCACAGTCAGCCACCTCCAAGCCAAGCAGAACCTGTTCATACATCTTGGCCATGTCACCATTTTCTCAGGTCAGCACTGCTCTAAGGCCGCGAACCCCTGCAAGTGGGAGACTGGAGGATAAAATGCAATTTTAGGCAACTGTGGCCCTTTTGTTTTCAATTTTTACAATAGAAATAAAACAAATGGAAGAGGATGTACTTACTATCTCTCAACGGAGCATAGCATCTTAAGTTGGTGATCCTGGATGACGAGAAGCAACATTTATATCTCAAACATTCACTCTCTTTGAGATCCTTCTGCCTAGTGCAAGGCTTGACCACCTGCTTCTCCTTCACTGTGCATGCTTTCCAAAGCAGAAATTCAGGAAAGAGAATTAGTGCCACTAATGAACACATTTCCTATTAAACAAGTACTACAATATAAAATTTTAGAAAAAACAACATTTAAGGTGGCACATTAAAATTTAAATCATAAGGGCACGGAGAGGGGTTGGGGGAATCCCAGAGCCTATGAAACTGTGTCACATAATGCAACATAATAAAAAAAATTTAAATCATATACAGAAATAATGTTGAATGAGGGAAAAGAAAAGCTAAACAACACAACAGCATTTAATAGCTGTTTAAATATTTCCAATTCTTAAACTGCAGAAAAACATTAACTTTTTGGTTTTTGTTGCTGCTTTAAATTTATTTATTATTTTATTGGAAAGGCAGATATAGAGAGGAGGAGAGACAGAGAGGAAGATCTTCCGTTCAATGATTCACTCCCCAAGTGACCGCAATGGCGATCCGAAGCCAGGAGCCAGGAACTTCTTTCCGGGTCTCCCATGCGGGTGCAGGGTCCCAAGGCTTTGGGCCGTCCTCAACTGCTTTCCCAGGCCACAAGCAGGGAGCTGCATGGGAAGTGAAGCTGCTGGGATTAGAACCGACACCCATATGGGATCCCGGGCGCGTCAAGGGGAGGACCTTAACCATTACCTTATTGCTCCGGGCCAAAACATTAAGTTTTAATAGATCATTGATAAGGCAGTTTTAGAAATCATGAGAAGTAGTGGCAAAATAAACACAGAGGGAATTCAAGAATAAACCAAATTTCCTTCAAACTAACACTTTGTTAAAATGATGCCACGGATATTCTCTAACTTAATTTGAGTAAGCTACAGAAACTGAATGCATTAATGAGAATGAATGTAACTAAGATTGCTCTGGTTTCCTGCTAGAGCAAAGTAAGTGACACAATTGATGCTGACCTATTTCTGTTAACACTTACATTGGCACTACAATCTGGTTTAATAGACCTCAAGCTTTGATTCTGTAATTTGAATAAGCAATTATTTATTGTGTGAACACCGAGATGAATTCAATTTCAACAAATGTGTATGCATCTGAATGTACAGATATGTTGTAACATTTGCAAGGTTGAACAAGTGTTTCTAAAAATATTCTCCTTTATATGAGAAACAAACAACTAAAAAGGCCAATAGAAGATTTTTTCTTAAAAAAAAAAACACGATATCTCTTATGGTCAGAAATGATTCCTTTCAACCTCTTACATAATTAACTGTAGACTTCATAAAGATTTATTTATTTTTATTTGAAGGGTAGATTTACAGAGAAGAGGGAGAGACAGATCTTCCATCCACTGGTTCACTCCCCAAATTGCCTCAATAGCCAGAGGTGAACTGATCTAAAGCCAGGAGCCAGGAGATTCTTCTAGATCTACCATATGTTCACAAGGTTCCAAGGACTTGGGCTGTCTTCCACTACTTTCCAAGTCCAGCCTGCTTCAGCCTGGCCATTGTGGCCCCTCTGGGAAGTGAACCAGCAGATGGAATCGCAAATCTTTCTCTCTCTCTCTCTCTCTCCCTTCCTTCCTCTCTCTTTCTCTCCCTCCCTTCTTGCCTCCCTCTCTGCCTCCTTCCCTCTCTTCTCTCTCTCTGCCTTCCCACTGCCCCATAACTATGACTTTCAAATAAATAAATCTGATTTTAAAACATTCAAAGACTAGATGACTTAAAAGATTAGATGATATAATATTCAAATTCCCTGATGTTAGTCTTCTGCAAGTTTACACTTGAATTGTAGCTGATAAACTTTATGCTAAATGTTAATATTTAGATTCAAATTATTAAAAATTTTGAAAACAATTTTAACTTCAGATTATTGTTGCTAATGTTTAAGTGGCAAGAGTGCTTATTTTTGGGCCTGGCGCGGTGGCGAGGTGGTTAAGGGTCCTCGCCTTGCACACCCGGGATCCCATATGGACGCCGGTTCTAATCCCGGCAGCCCCACTTCCCATCCAGCTCCCTGCCTGTGGCCCAGGAAAGCAGTCGAGGACGGCCCAAAGCTTTGGGACCCTGCACCCGCGTGGGAGACCCGGTAGAGGCTCCTGGCTTCGGATCGGCATAGCATCGGCCGTTGTGCTCACTAGGGGAGTGAATCATCAGACGGAAGATCTTCCTCTCTGTCTCTCCTCTCTGTATATCCGCCTTTTCAATAAAAAGAAAATAAATCTTAACAAAAAAAAAAGAGTGCTTATTTTCAACTACAGAGAAGAGGAAATAAATTCATCAAAAATTTCACATCTGACAAACCTGTAGTTATGCTTTTCAAGGAATACTATATATACCTATATACACATATACATATATTACCTGTATATATAAAATATATGCAGTGTATGTAAATATGCTTGGTATATAAATATATATGTGTGTGTCTATATAGTATAAGCATTTAATTACCATCTCATAAATTGGAATCCATGTAACTCAGATGTTTCTATTAAAACGAAACAGTTTAATTTTGTTGGGAAAGCCTGTTATTTCATGCAATTGGTTTTGACTCATCTTACACTGATAGCTATACTACTTTGCCTCCTAGATATTTAATTACTGTTTTGAAAACAATGATATTGGCAGGGCAGGGCTGGAGGTGGATGTCAAACAAGAACTTACTTGTTGGAAAGAAAAAACGTGATAGAGAGTCCCACATGGATTGCTCTCCCAGAGTTTGATCAGTATTGTTCTGCAGGATAGTCTCATCGTAAGATCCAGAATTTGAGCCTCCTTAAAAGAAATGACACGATCAGTACCAACATATAACACATCCATCACTTTCCAAAACCCTTTGATGGCAATTGTCACTGTTTAAGAAAGCAACGCGGTGGCTGCAAAAGAACACAGTAACTCCTAAACTAAAGGAAATTTATAAAATGGAAGATACAGAATTCAAAATAAAGACTTCAGGGAAACAACACAATTCTAGAGAATACAAGCAGATTAAACAAATAAGGAAATCAATGAATGACATGAATACAATATTACTAAAGAGATAGAAATGAAGAAGAACCAACTAGAATTTTGGAGATAAAACTTTGAATCAGAATTAAAAAAAAAATAGCTAGATCTTCAACAGTCAAAAGACTGTTGAAATAACTCAATCAAAATAAAATAGAGAAAGTGATTTTAAAGAATAAAGTCTATGTGAAATATGAGATATCTTTACATGAACAAAATTATAATATTATAGGTATTCCTAAAATGGAAGAAAAAGAAAAGGCATTTAAAAGCTGATCAATAGAATTATAGCTGAAATTTGCCCACAACTTGCAAAACATGAGATCATCCAGATAGTTGTTGGGTGAAATGAAACTCAGAGAGGGGACGGTGTAATAGATCAACTGGCTAATCCTCTGCCTACAAGGACTGGCATCCCATATGAACACCACCAGCTCATGTCCTGGCTGCTCCACTCCCAATTCAGCTCCCTGCTTGTAACTTGGGAAAGATGTGCAAGACGGCCCAAAGCCTTGGGATCCTGCACCCACGTGGGAGACCCAGAAGAGTCTCCTGGTTCCTGGCTTCGAATCAACTCAGCTCTTGCTGTTGCGGCCATTTGGGGAGTAAATCATTGGACAAAAGATCTTTCAGTTTCTCCTTGCTCAGTAAATCTGCCTTTCCAATAAAAATAAACAAACAAAAAGGAAGCTCGGAGAACCTAGGAAGACTCGACCAAAAAGAGTCTTCACCAAGGCATATTGTACTTAAATTGTGAATAGTTACGTAAAATGAAAGAATTTTAAGGACAGTAAGAGAGAAGTGCCAAGTTATGTACAAAGGAAAACAAATTAGACTAATAACACACTTCTCAACAGAAACCCTACAGGTAATAAGAGTCTGGGATAATACATTCTGAGTCTTAAAAGAAAGAAGAGCTATCCTTTAAAAGGGAAGGAAATAAGGTAGTTTTCAGATAAGCAGAAACTGGGAGAATTCACCACCACCAGACCAGCCTTGTAAGAAATTCTGAAGGGAGTCCTGTTCTGAAGGGAAGTACACATCATAAAAACAAACACCACCAAATTCACTAACAGGGCAGTCATAATTAGCATCCAATCAATAAAATGACAGGTGTGACTTCTTGTCTATCTATACTAACTTTGAATATAAATGAGTTAAATCCTCAAGCCAAAAGACTCAGTTTTGGATGAATGAATAAAAACCTAGATTCCACTATATGCTGCCTATAAGAAACTCACTTTTCAAACATGTACCTACACTGAAAGAGAAGAGCCAGGGAGAGATTAGCAAGCAAACAGAAACCAAAATGAGCAGCAATAGTTATCCTGATATCAGATAAAATGGACTTTAAATCAAAAACTGTACAGTCAAATGATATTTATTTTGGAAAGACCAGATTCAGCAAAAAGATGTAACAAACATAAATACACACAGCCAATGCATACACACATATATAAAACATGCTATCAAGCAAATAGACTTAACAGATATTTATAAGACATTCACGCAACAACTACCAAACTCATGTTCTTCTTATCAGCACATGAACGTTTTCCAGGATAGCTCATATATTGGGTCACATATCAAGCCTCAATAAATTTAAAAAACTGAAATTATATCATGTACATTCTTGTATCATAAAGTGATAAAACTAGAATGAACAGCAATGAAACACTCATAAAAATGTAGAAATTAAACATACTACTAAGTGATCAATGAGTCACTGAAGAAATTTAAAAAATCAAAAATTTTCTTGAAATAAATGAAAGTAAAATGCAATATATCAAAACTTGCAGGATATTGCAATAGCAGTATTAACAGGGAAGCTTACAATATTAAGTGATTATATTAAATAAGAGATATGTCTCAAATCAAAGATTTAATAATGCATGTCAAAGATTTAGAAAGATAAAAACAAACCAAAACCCAAACCAACAGAAGAAAAATAAAATTAAAACTAAAAAGAATAGCAAAGATCAACAAAACAAATAATTAGTTTAAGATATAAAAAACAGATAGATCTCCAGCTGTTGCGGCCATTCAGGAAGTGAATGGGCATGGAACATCTCTCTGTCTCTCCTTTTCTCTGAAAATCTGTTTTTGAAATAAAAACAAATAAATCTTAAAAAAAAAAAAGAAGAAGAAGAAACGAAGCAAAAAAGAAACGCCTGTGTGTGTCAGTATTGTTGAAATTATAGGTTCGGAAAATTTGTAGAACTTTGTCATTTCATTGGTTAAGACTATTATTCTATGTTACTTTTAATATTGTATGATTGTGTTAATATTTGGTGTATATGTGTGAAATTATCTTTTTTCTATTTAATTATCATTTAGATTCTTTGCTTATCTTCCCACTACATGGCAGTCTTTTTGCTCTTTATTAAATTTATTTTGCAAAGCAGTGAGTTTTTTTAGTTTAATGTAAACTTATACTATCCTGAAAACAAAAAAAATGGGAGGAAAATGGGGGAAGGAAAAAGAAATAGCATCATATTATTAGAATTATATAGTCAAACTATATTGAATCTCCTAAAATCTAAGTTAAAATTTAAGAGTCCTAAAAATTTTAAAAATTAAAAAATAATGTCAGAACACATATATATGAATTTCCACACTACCCACCACAAAGCTACAATAGTGAAGATATGGTACTCTCATGGGGACAGACAGACTGATAGAACAGATTTGATAGTGAAATAAATCCATACACTGAAAGTCACTTGATTATTATAAAAGTGCCAAAAATACTTAATAGACAATAAGCAATCTTCAACAAATGGTGCTGTGATAACTAGATGTCCATTTGCAAAAGAATGATGTTAGATCCACAAAACATATCACATACCAAACTTAACTCAAAATGGATTAATAACCCACATATAATAGCTAAAATGGTAAAACCATAGGAACAATCTTTATGTCCTTGGATTTATAATCAGTTTTATATATGGCAACAAAAGCATAAGCAACTAAAAAGTGTATAAGTTAGATTTTCTCAGAATTAGGCACTTTTGACATAAAATATCTGATAAAGAAATAAAAATGACAATGTTCAGAATGGGAAGGAACATTTGAAAATCGTGTATCTGGTAGTTAGCATTACTCAGTATATAAAGATGTATAATTCAACAATAAAACCCAAAGAAACTATTTTTAAAAAATCAAAAGATTTGAAAAGACAGTTCTTCAAATATATAGAAATGGTTAACAGGCTCATGCAACAATATCATTAGTCATTAGGGAAATATAAATCAAAATTACAAAATACAATCCACACCCACTAAAATGGCTAAAATTGAAAAGGGATAGATAGCAAAGGCTGGTGAAATTTGGATTTGCCCACTTTCCATGGAAACGTCAAATGGTTCAGCCAATTTGGGAAACAATCTGGGATTTTCTGAAAAACTCAATAGAGAGGTCCCATGTGAGCTAATGATTCCATTCCTGGAGAACTGAAAATATTCAAGAAGTTGCACATAGCTTTTCAGAGCAGCATTGTTCACAAAAGTTCCAAAGTGGAAAGAACCTAAATTGAGTAAATTTCATAAACTGGTCATAAAATAGTCACACGACACTCATTCAATCCCAAAATGGAATGAAACACTTTATGGACTGAGAGAATGGCAGTATCTGAAAAATGGGCATAATTTTTTTAAAAGCACAGAGACAAAGAAACCCAGCCAGTTGGTCTCTAAATGCCTCCAACAGCCAGATTCGGCAAGACAGAAGCCAGGGACCAGGAGTGCAGTCCAGGAGAGCAGGAACTCAAATCCGTAAGCCACCAACCGTTGCCTTCCAAGGCTGTGAAGAATCCGTATGGCAACGTCTAGAGCATTGCCAAAACACAGCGCCCCATTTGGATCTGGGGTGAAGGCATCCAGTCCCCACCAGTAGGTCAAGTGGCTTTTTAAAAAAAATTTATTTATTTGGGGCCATCACGGTGGCTCAAAAGGATAGGTTAACTACCCACACTGCAGGCATCCTATATGAGAAACTAACTGATGGTGCCCCAGCTGCTCCACTTCCCATCCAGCTCCCTGCTTATTGGCTGGAAAAGCAGTGAAGGACAGCCCAAGTCTTTGAGCCCCTGCAGCCCCAGGAGACCAGGAAGAAGCTCCTGGCTTTGGATTAGCTCAGTTCCGGATGTTGTAGCCTTTGGGGGATGAATCAGTAGCAGATAGCTCCCTGTGTCTCTCTGTAAATCTACCTTTCCAAAATAACAAGTAAATCTGAAAAAAAAAAGCAGTAGATGGAAAATCTTTTAATACATGTATTTATTTTTATTTGAAAGGCATATTCGGGACCCAGCGCAATGGGCAAATTCTCACTTTGCAAGCGCCGAGATCTTACATAAACAAGGGGCTGGATGGGAGGTGAGGCAGTTGGCACAGGACCTTTTGCCCTTATGTGAAGCCGGGGGTGGGGGGGGTACGGGGAGAGGACTGCTGTGGGGGGCAAGGGTGAGTGTGGAGGGAGCAGAGGAAGTGGGGGGAGACGCAGAGAGGAGGCAGGCTGGCCTGGGCTTGTGGGGGGAAGGGTGCTGGTGGGGTTAGGGGTTCCAGTTGCAGGCAGGCGAGGACACTGATAGGAGGTGTTGGGGCAGAGGGTGGTTATGGGGGAGGGGGATTGGGGAGCCAGTGGGGCTGAGGGTCAGAGAGAGGGCTTTCTGGGGTAGAGGGGATTGGGAGAAGGGGCTGGAGGATCAGATTTGGGGAGCGGGCAGGGGACTACGCGTGCGAACAACCAAGCCTTGGCTTTGCTCCCTTGGGGCCCTGTGCCATGCTCTCTCCTGGTGACCTTCCAGGCTGGCGCATCTCTTGCCCTAGCAGAGGCCTTTCTGTCCCTCCTTCAGTCTTGCAAGTCTTTCTGTCACCTTTTCAGCAATGCCTGTTCTTTAACAACTCTAATCCCCCTTCAAAAACGCCTCCCTCCCTTGAGTTTCCCCCACTCTCCCAACCTCAGTTCTCCCAGAAAATACTTCCCTCCCGCATCTTTTTTTTTTTTAGGTGAACTTGACATAATGTAAAATTACAATTCGCAGAATGTGGTGTGTTTAAATATTTTATATCCATTTCCTCTTCCAGATGTAAAATATTTTTTAATTGCTCCAAAGTAAAACTTGTCTGGTGTCACAGTAGTTGTCCTTCTCCTAACCACCTCCCCTCCCACTGGTTTCCCCCCCTCCACCTCCCCCAACTCGTCTCTCCTCCTCCCACTCCCCCCTCCGCCTCCCCTCCCCTCCCCCACCCCTGCTTTCCCCCTCCCCTCCCCTCCCCCTCTCCCCCCTCCCCCGCTTCCCCCTCCGCTTTCCCTCCCCTCCCCCGCTTTCCCCCTCCGCTTTCCCTCCCCGCCTCCCCTAACACCTCCCCCCGTTTTCTCCCTCCCCCGCCTCCCCCGCTTTCTCCCTCCCCCGCTTTCCCCCTCTGCCTCCCCTCCCCCTCTCCCCCCTCTTCACCGGCACCCTCCCGCACTGCCCATGTCCCCTCCCCCTCTCCCCCTCTCCCCCTCTCCGCCTCCCCCCCCCCTCTCCCCCTCCGCCTCCCCTCCCCCTCTGCCTCCCCTCCCCTGCTTTCCCCCTCCGCCTCCCCTCCCCTGCTTTCCCCCTCTTCCTCTCCTCCCCCTCCCCTCCCCGCCTCCCCTCTCCCGCTTCCCCCCCCCACTTTCCCCCTCCGGAGGGGCCCCCCTCCTCCCAGGGCCCTCCCTCTAACCCCGGCCCCCTTCCTCATCCCCCCTTGCACAGGCGTCCTCCCCCTCACCAGTGGCCTCCCCTCCCTTCCCTCCGGTGTCCTCCCTTCCCCCAGCCTCCTCTCACACCCACAGCCTTCTCCTCACCGCCCGCATCCCCTCCCACCTGCGTCCCCCCTCTGACCCCTCCCTCCCCTCCTCCTGGTGTCCTCCCCCCATCTGCGTCCTCCCCCTCACTTGAGCCTCCCCTTCACCGGCACCCTCCCGCACTGCCCACCTCCCCTCCCCCGGGTGTCCTCTGCCTCACTGCCCACATCACCTCCCTCATGTGTCCTTCCCCTCACTGGCATCCTTCCCCTCACCCGGCCTCCCCCTCCTCACCGGGTCTTCCCCTGACTGAGCCTCGCCCCCCCCCCACGGGTCCTCGTCCTCACTGGCGTCCTCGATCCTCACCGGGCCTCCCCACTGACCGCTGTCCTCCCCCTCGCCGGCCTCACCACACCCGGCGTCCTCCCCCTCACCAGGCCTGCCCTCACTGGGCCGCCCCTCGACCGGCGCCCTCCCTTCACCAGCACTTCCCCCCTCACCGGCGTTGTCCTCCCCACCGGCCCTTTCCTCCTCCGGGCCTCCTCCTGACTGGCGTCCTCCCCCTTACTCGGCCTCCTCCCCCCATCGGGCCTTCCCGGGTGTCTTCCCCCTCACCGACATCTTGGCCCTCACCAGGCCTCCCCCTGACCAGCGTCCTCCCCTCAGCCGGGGCTGATGCGGGGACTCACCAGTCCTGAGATAGTAGCCCAGAACCAGAAAGGCCCAGAGGACCAGAGTCAGCATCCGGAACCGCCTGCGAGCCCACAGCCCGGCCACAGGCTGCTGCTGCTGCTGCTGCTGCTGCTGGGCCTCAGGGTGGGCCGCACGCAGGGGTGTCTGCCAGGCACCCTGAGGCAGGGCCGCAGTCTTCGTCCTGCTTGTGGCTCTCTGGGCCCCTTGGGCCGGGACCTGGACATCGCGGTCCGCGTCAGAAGCCCCCAGCTTCGAGCGGGCGCCACGCGAGGCACGCTTAGATCGCAGCCTCTCCTTCAGAGGCTTGGCCTCTGAAGGCATGGCTCAGCCTGGTTCCCTAAGCCGCCGCCTCACTGCGCACTGTCGCCTCGCTACCTCACGCTCCTTTGTCCCAGAAGCCCTGGCGCGGCGTGCTTTCTAGAAGCCCTTGGCAGGTTGACGCGCTCTTCCCGTGCAAACTCTCGCGAGACTTGAGTCAGGTTCTCTTGACGCCTTCTGGTTCATTCCACGTTCTCCACGCCCCCTCCCCCCCCCCCCCCCCCACCCCCCGCCCCCCCCGCCACCCCCCCACCCCCCGCCACCCCCGCCACCCCCCCCCCGCCTGTCTTGTAGGCTCGTATCCCCACGCAAAGCCTGACCAGTTTAGACGCTTGATAAATTAATGAGGCTTGAGGCCTGCACCATTAACATAACTGCTTCCTGACAAAAGGGAGTACCGAATTTAGACTGTAGCCTTGGCCGGGAATTTCTTGCCATGTTCACTAAACTAGCCAGCAACGAAATGTACCTAGTTCAATGTGAATGTTAATGAACGCAAACTAAGCCATCGGCTCCTCCACCACAAGAGCCACGGGCGCTTTGTGAGCGCCATCTTGGGCAGCGCCTTGCCTTGGTGGCAGAAAGTGCTCGGTGGCCACAAAGTCCCGCTCATTGCCTTGGGTTAGGCATACCCGCTGACTCGATTACAGAGAGCAATGCTTCCATTAGGAAGCTACCGCACTCCGGGATGTAAGTGGTGTGGATGACTGTGCTGTCATCCTATTCTTACTATGTTCTGGTCTTCCGAAAGTTTTCTAATAATTTTATTGTATTGTCTTTGCTAGTTTTAATCACATTCCATATGGGTAAGAAGGATAAGGTTTCAAATTCAAATGATTCTTTAAATGTGACTTGCTCTCTCTTTTGCAATTTCTCCATCTCTCGTCTATAAATATCATTCTTTAGTTTTTAAGGATGTGTCACCAAAAAAAAACTTACTACCCTTTTATCTCTTTAAACTAAAACTGATATTTTAAAAAGATTTATTTATTTTTATTTGAAAAGCAGATTTTACAGAGAGACAAGACACGATAGAGAAGAGCCCCCTTCGGCTAATTCACTTATCGAATGGCCACAACAGCCAGAGCTCAGCCGAGCCGAAGCCAGGATCCAGGAGCTTCCTCCAGGTCTCCCACACTGGTGCGGGGTCATAAGCAGTTGGGCCGTCCTCAACTGCTTTCCCAGTCACAAGCAGGGAGCTGGATGGGCTGCAAATCAGTGCCTGTGTGGCATGCTGGTTTAGCCTGCTATGTCATGGCACCAGATCCCTTTTTATCTTAACAAAAAAAGCCTCAGTTTTTCAAAAACATATTTGACTAAAAAAATGTCCACAAAATGATTAATAGCTTTGGTTTATTTGAAAGGCAAAACAATGGAGAGGGCAATTGTGTGTGCATGAGTACGTGCTCGGGTGCGTGTGCGCGCGCACGCACACACACATACACACACACACACACACTAAAGATCTTTCATCTACTAGTTCATGTTCCAGAAAGCTGTGATGGCCCGGTCTGCAGCAGGCTGAAGCCAAAAACCTCTGGACCTCTGTGCCTCCCATGTGGCCGGCAGGGCCTCAAGCACTTTGGCCATCATCTGCTGTTCCCTCCTGTGCATCAGCAGGGAGCTGGATCAGAAGCAGAGCTGCTTCAAACCGGATGCCAGTGTTTCAAGCAGTGTCTTGTAACTTATTTTTAATATTGTTTACATAGCTGGGATGCATGTAGGTCCATGTGGGCCTCTAATTAGTGCGGGGAGGGCCAGGTGTGGAGAAGGTGGGTGTAACATAGTTTTTTTTTTTTCCCTGCATTCACAGGGAAGGAAGGGAAGAGGGCTGCTCCTCGCTGTCAAACTGTATCAGCACTAGGAAGTGGGAGACAGGCCATTGATGACACTCTAGAGACCTTGATGTGAGGAACAGTGTTGTGAGGGTGTTACTTGAGTAATTTCAATAGCCCTGAGGTGTCAATTTCACTGCTTTAGGGGTGAGAAATTCTTCCAAGGTTTACCAGGTGACAGTCCACCTTAGTGCAGCCACAGTCCCAGGAGCAAGCTGTAACTTTGACCAGGAGAATTGTCCAACCTGTTCTGCTTTCCATTCTCTGAAGAGCTGTTGGCATCTCCAGCTGGTCTAGATGAGCTGGCTGTCGTCATGGCCCCCATGTGCATCTGGACATGCTGTCCACTGCACAGGTATCAGCAACCGAGGAATCCCAGTCCAGACACATGAATGCCAATGTCAGACCACATATCCTGTGATTTTCCCTGTGTCTGCAGTCTGAGTCGGGGAGTTCTCTAAGAAACCTTGACTGGGGTGCCCTCAGACTTGACTCATGTGAGTCAGCTAATGCAGGGTTAGGTTTGGTCTGTCTCTTGCATCAGGCAATGCATATACCAGTGGATGCAGCTTGGTCAGTTCAACCTCAACCCCATCTCTCACATGAACTGATGTGTTGTGACCCATCCCAGTCAGTCCACCACAGACTCAGGTACCACAGCCTAGTTAGGGCAACCCCCAATAATTCCCACCAGGCTCATACCCAGCCCCGGTTTGTGTGTATGCCACACTCTGCTGCAGCCTATCCCAGCTCATCCACATCTCAATCAGCTATTGTGAATAACCACAGGTGCTGCAAACGGTGTCTTAACATGCAGTGCCACAACTTCATCCCCAATAGCTTTTGAACTTATTTATCGGTTTACTTTTCCTGCAACACCTAACACTTAACAATGATCAGGATCCATCACCTTGGGCAACATGGTGATGCTTTTTGCTAGTTTGCCTGCTACAAAGAAGTGAGTTCTAATTTAGTGTCTAAAAAAAAAATTCTATGGGCAACATTGTGGTATATAGGAAGTTCAACCGCTGCTTGCAAACTCTGGCATCCCATATGGGTACTGATTCGAGTTTTGGATGCTCCACTTCTGATCCAGCTCCCCATTAATGTGCCTGGTAAGGTAGAACAAAATGACCCACATCCTTGAGCCCAGCACCTACCCGTGAGACATGGATGGGGTTCCAGGTTCCTGGCTGTGGTCATATGGGTTTGAACCAGTAGAAAAAAATATTCTTCCTCCTTTTCTCTCCCTCTCTTTCTTTCCTCTTTGTAATTGTGCCTTTAAAATAGATATTTCTAAAAAAAATATTTATTTCTATTGGAAATGCGGATTTTACAGAGAGGAGAGACAGAGAGGAGAGACAGAGAGGTCTTCCACCCACAGTTTCACTCGCCAAATGGCTGCCAGGGTAGGAGCTGAGCTGATCTGAGGCCAGGAGCCTGAAGTCCCCAGGTTGCCCTCATGGGTGCAGACCTTGAATTACCCCTGCGCTGCTTTCGCAGGGCACAAGCAGAGTGGGCTCGGAAGTTGAAATGAGTCCCTTTAAAGATGTGGCTCAGGGAGCTCCCAGCATCCTGGATGCAACACTCTTAGAACTTGTTTGTACTTCGGTCCACCCATTCAATTCTCCTTTCTTCCCTTTGTTTCAGCGATGCCAAATCCACAGCACAGTCTGAATTCTCCCTTGACTTTCACGGATTTCCTGCTTGTCATCCTTCACAACTGTTTATCCAAAAACTGTATCACACACGTAATCCTGTCTTGGCTTCTACCTATCAGAGGACCTGCACAAAGACAAGGGATGTGTCAGTGTACACATCTAGAGAATTTTGCTAGTTCCCAACAATGAGCTTGTTGTTGAAAAGACCAACACAGTTGTTGCAGGAGCTGGTATTTCTAGCACAGTTGCACCTGATTCACCGGAGTGGAAAGGAACACAGGAGTCAGTGAACTCCACACTTATAAGGCCATTGGTGCACTGCTGCTTGACCATGCCTATAAGTTCAGTTGTCATGAAATTAGGGACATTCAAATATATAGCAAAGGTGAGCCAGTCAAAGCCTTAAATACAAGTGCACTACCTGGGAGAAGTGGATAGCAACCTGATTAGTATGTGTCCAAAGCAGTCAGGACCTTCTGCATACCCATGTGTAGGGGCAAGGAACACATACTTAAATCATTCAGCATGAGCCAGTTCCCACGTAGCACCATGCCGCATTTACCTGGAATTGCAAGCTTACGCAGCAGCCAAGGAGTGCAGGCTCTGGGCCTGTCAGTAGCTTCTCTGTATGTTGAATCACAGCTCTTCACAACAGTTTTGTTCTTGCGGTAGGTCTGAACATGGATCCCATAGGTCACCATGCACAAGATGCTTCACAAGCTTAACTGACTTGGTCTCTCCAGATGCTATGATTTTTCTTAATCTGTGGTCCTTTCTTGGAGAAAACTACATATACAGCTTTTTAATTGAGCCCGTGCATGAGGTATGTTTGTTTCCATAGGGTGAATGGCATCTGTATGATTTTAAATCTTGTGTTTGGTGGCCTAATGTTCTGAGCAAGGGGTGAATCCTTTAACAGAAGCCCATCAATGTATGTAAAGGTATATTTCATTCATCAGTGAGCAGAATGCTTTGTTGCCAAAAGCAACTGAAGTTCTAGGCATATATTCAGAGTAGCACTGCCACTGCTTGTCAACACTTACCACTATCAAGATAGGCTAGCATTCCATTGAAATTGTTTACCATGGAAGGGACTATTCCATCAGTCAACAGGCTTCTACATATACTACGAATTGTTGAAACCAAGGCTGGCATTGAGCCTATACTTGACATGGTAGGCAGCAGAGCTATCTCAGTACCTACTGGGTGGGCAAATACCTTTCCTTGGAATTGACTTGACTTGCAACTAGTGGAGGATAAAATTTTTACTCCCTACTCCTGCTTGTCACACTTGGCCAAGTGTTAAGGTATTGTCACTCAATTCTAAACTATACTGTGATGCTGAAACTGGAACTGTGTCCCATTGCTCCCTCACCAGATGCTCCACACCAGGTTCTGTCCAGGGCTCTAAATGGTGCAGGATGGCCGTTCTTCATTCTGATGGGAAAGACACTCCAGGAACACCAGCTGGACCCAATCCCCAGTTTCCCACACTCTCCAAAGCAGC